CCTTGCAAGCACAAGGGCCCGAGTTCAATCCCCAGTACAAACAAAACAAAACAAACAAAAAACATAATTTAATGTAGCAAATGTTGGTAATGAGCAGAGAACCTGGAACCCTTACACATGGTGCAGCCCCTGTGTGAAATACTTTGACATTTCCTGAAAAAGTTGTATATAGATTTACTATACTCTTCAACCCTTCCATTCTTAGGTAGTTGTCCAAAAGAAAAGAAAGCATGTATTCAAACAAAAATGGGTGTGTTCTTCACTGTCAAAGTCATGGCAATGACAAAGTCTTTCCAGGAGAGAAAACTGGATCCAAATACAAAAAAGACTTTTTCTGTCATCCAAGAGACAGTGAAAGTGAAGGGGACCTAAGGACTGGCTATTCAAGTTGAAGCTCTTGAATTACTGACACAGGGGCTTTGTGGTGGTTATCTAAGAGCATCTCTACTTTGAGTAAAATACATGGCAGTGTTTCACATAGACTTGCAAATCTGGAAAAGAAATAACCACTGGAAAGGTGAGTGAATAAATGAAGGGTACTTCCTAACAAGATTGCAGATGTCTTATAAGTTTGAAATTATTGAGAAGGATAAAGTATGTTTTTCAATATCCATATCAATATCATGCCAGAAAAAACCAAATGTCACTCTATTGATTAGTGAGCTTTCTCACTGTGGCAACATCTACAAGTAAAGAAGAGGAATCATTGGCTCAGGTCTGTGGGGGATTCAGTCCAGTTTCCTGGCGCAGCAACATCATGAAGGAAAAATTTGGCAGAGCAAATCTTTATATTTCATGGTGACACAGAAGCAGAGCAGAACAGAGAGAAAGGGATAAGAGACCAGAGACACCAAGGTGATACCTCCATGTCCCATGCAGACACACCCAGCAGTGTACATGAACAATACCTGGGTAGATCTCAAAGCCAGTCAAGGTGACACTCCACATAAACTCATTTACATGACACTGATTACACCATGCTGTTTGTTATTGTATATGTAGCTCAGCATTAAGTAGTGCTGTTAATCACTCTACTCATGCAAAATTTATCAATTAAATTTTATCATATTTTATGTATAGGAAAAAACAACATACATGTGTTTTTATATGGTTATTAATATTCAGTGTTGGGTTTGAAGTATACATTGGAGACACTGAAACATATCCTCTTTAAGGATATATTACTCAGTTTATTTTCATGGAAACAGAGAATATGCAGAACGGTGCTGACTCATGGATGAACAACTTGCTTCCAGACAAATAGAATAATTTAACCACATTATATTTTGCAGACCATGTGGAATGGGCTGCAAAGAGTTGAGCTACAATGACAGGTTCAAAAAATTTGGGAAGAACGATCCATCCCGGTTTGGTTTGTAGAAGTGAAAGAATTTAAAAATCCACAAGATTTAGAAGGAGCCTAGACATTTTTTCCCCATTCTATGTCTTGTTATCTAACTATCTCAGATGCCCAATGTTAGGTCAATGGCTTTCAATGTGTGTGTCTGTTTGGAGGGTTTTTTTCCTCAAGACAGAGGAAGAGTGGGTTTTGTTGGTATTGTGATGTTCAGCCACAGATGATGCTAAATATTATACAATGAATAAGACAGCTTTGATTACAAATAATTTTATTGTATATTGACATGACTGATTAGGTTTTTTTTTAATTTTTATTATGAACTCAATCTCAAGCCCTTTTCCCCTCTTCACAGGCCCAGTAGATGAGTCTTATCCTTTCATCTTGTTACGGAAGGAATCAGTAAGTGACAGAGAGGCAGAAGAACGGAAGTAAAACAAAAATTTACTCATCAATAAGGGTTGATCGCATGTAAGCCATGCCTGGATTGACAATGCACTGGGTTACAACTCCTCCTTTTATAGGGTTTTACAGCCTTGACTTAATTTGGATGGTCACATTTCATTCTCACAGTTCAAATCATGCTCATAAAATAGTTCATCTTTTCAACCCAGATGTAACAGTTCTTTGCAGTTGGGAAGTTTACCTTTAACATTCACCTAGTTATCTATTCTAGTCCATAGAAAAAAGGGGTGTTCAGGGTTAGGGGAGAAAATGTTAGCAATGGGTTCTTTCATTTAGACACTTTTATGATCAGGTGGCTCTAGTCTCATCAGAGCTCTCAAGACCTTGACATGCCCTGTTATCTCAGGGTAAGACCAAATGCCTCATTCAGCAATTAGCGCCTTTGGTGCCTATTAGTTTTGAGCTAAACAAAACAAACTGCTATTAGAGACAGCATAAGCCACTTTACATTGTAACACTTTATAGGGTTTTGATATTTATAAAAGTTTTCCCTATCAATCTCATTTGTGAGTTCCAAATAAAATTTATTTTTACAAGTTCTGTCTTTTAAGCATTATTTGGTCCTTCTGGATTTCAGATTATTCTCCATCAAGAAACTAATAGCAGGCCAGGAATTTAGCTCAGTGGTTCTGGTGACTGGCTCACAAGCTCAAGGACCTAAGTTTGATCCCCAGTACAAAAAAAAAAAAAGAAAGAAAGAAAGAAACTAATAACAGTTCCACAGCTATTAATAATATTACTATGAAACAAAGCACAGAAGTTTCACATACAACCTTTTAAGGGGCTTTGAATTTCTTGTATCAGAGTTCCAAAACTACTATACAGTACCATTCTATGAGTGTTTTCATAGTCCGTGTCATATGGCGGGCTGTAAAGAATAGCCACAATGTATTTATCCCTAGAGTTCACAAAAATATCACCATACTCAATATAACACAATTTCAAATAAACGATTGAAATAGAGAAATGTAGTTGAGTCCTCAGAAGATTAAATGTTGAGGCAGCTACACTATTTGAAAGGGAGAGGTACTTAGAAATAATTAAATGGGTCTATAGCGCTGTGAGAGGATCTTGAGTTTGTTCTAAAAAGGTACAGAATATGTAAATCCCTAGGCATAGAGCATCTCCTGACAATATCCAACTAGAATGGCAAGAAACACAATCATACACAGAAAAACAGGGGGAACAATTCACAATCAATTAGCTGTTTTCTATTCGTTATTAATATGGATATAAATTCATGGCATCTATGTTTTTCAGTAATACTTCTTGCGTGTTTTGATTCCACATACAGTATCCTAAAATTGTCTTTTTCTTCTTCATTAATAAGCACAGAAAGAAAACAATGATGGTCCTCATTTCAACACATAGGCTTGATTTGAGTATATGAACCTCACAACTCATCAATACTGACGTAAAGCATATGAGTAAACTGTAAGGGGAGCACAGCCTTCAGTCCAGTGATGTGAAGCTGTGCTGTAAAATGAGCCTACAAAGGAACAGTCATGACCATTCCCTTGGGAGCCCCTGAGCTGCAGATCTCTTTGGCGTGTTGTCTCCAGCTGCTCAAAACAGCTCTAGAAGGAGTGGTGACAGGCACAAGCTGTAGAACAGTGGAAAGCAGGCAATAAATATGTCAAATGTATTTGGGGTTTTGTCCTTTCAGAGGTTCTTCCTGCTTACAAGGGTGCTTTCCCTGAGAAGCAGTTTGATGTGCGAAGTGTTGCTGGAATCACACTGAATATGCTCATATGAAGAAAATCTTTGAAGGGGGTTCATAGAAATAACTCAATTATCTACACTTCTAAAGAAAAGGTTTAAGGATTTGACAGTATATTTTGTTCAGATGTAGGAGACCAAAATATTCATACTCTCAGAGTTGTTTTTGAGCCTAACACAATCACCTCCATGTTTACATCTGAGTCACCTCACTGGCACAGACGTGCCGATGACTGCACTAACGGCCTTGCTCATTTAATGACCTAATCTGTTACATAACAACTGTATCTCATCATGACTGTTACTGTACAATATGTTTCTCCTTTATCATTTTATGAGTAACCACTTCCTCTTACAAATTTGTGGGTTTTGCCTTTATATACTGCTTGTGCCTGCAAATAAAAGAGACCTTGACAAGCCTCTGCTTGGTCTCCTTCTCTCTGCGCCCCTCTTGTCCCATTTCCAGGTATCTCCCCTTCTCGACCTCTGCTGATTACAAGCCCTGCCGGCCGGGGCATTCAGACACCTACTGCTAACTTTAACATTTCTTGTTGAAGGTTGAAATTCCTACAAGGATAAAATAATACCTACAAGGTTAAAATACCTAAAAGGATTTTTTAAATTCGTGGTTTCAGAGATTGAAATCAGTTGTTATTAGACTCAAATGGAGAAATAGTGGGACTAGCTCATAGTGGAAAGAAACGAAGAAAGAAAGGTAACGTCTGCATGAGAACCAGGAAGCAGAGAACAAAACGGGTGCCACAGACGAAGGTGGAGGGAGAAGATAAGCTCCCTAATGTCACAACTCCAGCATTGCTGTACTAGTATCCTATGCACCTCTAATGCCAAACAAGATTTTGACCAAGAGTGTCACAAGACTCCGGCAAATATTTCCCTTCTAGCAATATTAATGTGTTGAAAGGCAGAGTTGCAGCTTTTGAAGAGGGAATTACAGGGCACAAAGAGCTTACAGTCTGAAGTCCTTAGGTTTCCATGCCTCAACACCAGAAAATACATTTATTCAGCAATCATATGCTTCTCTTTGGCATGTATTTTCTTGGCTTAGAGTGAGTAAATCAAGAGATACAGTAAGAGAAAGCCTTGTTCGTGAAGGCAAGAACCTTACTCCTAAGTTCCTTCTTCTCACAAAATCAGGCCCTCTTTCCCATTGCGTCCTGGCTTTGCCTGGACTTGGAACACTCTCTCACAGCGAGTTAACCCGAACTGGCTTAGCAGACTGGTGACCCCATTTGGAAGAACAACACACAGGAAGAGCCCACCGAGTCCAGGAAGAAGAATGGAGTAGCCAGGTGCGATGGTGCATCCCTGTAAACCCAGCACTGAAGAAGCTGACGCAGGAGGATCACAAAGAGCTCAAGACCAGCCAGTAACATAGTGAGTTCAAAACATGCAACACTTTGTCTTAAAAACAGAGACAGAAGACGCTCGAAACCAGGAGAAATTTTTCTTAAATGCAGGCTAGGACAGATCAGCATCCTGGGAGACAAACTGGTCAAGAAGTGTCTGGGTTACAATCTCCCATGTGACTTGCTCTCACACTGGTGAAGATCCGCTTCAGCAGTCTCTCAGCCCAGAAGGCGGGCAGTGGAACAGGAGCCAATCGGCGTTGAGGGGCGGGCCGTATGAACTGTCCAATCAGGTGGCCCTGGCGGGAGGGCTCTGTTTCCTGGCGGCAAAACCACAGATCCTGAGTTCAATGCTGAGAGCTGCCGTACCCTGGTAGACCACCTTGCTTTAGGATTTCTGTTGGCTGCAGACTGCGTGGGAAGGACCCGGGAGACCCTGTAGCCACGCAATGGTGACGTTGTGGGACGGGTGCGCTGACAGGGGTGGTCGGGGGAGGCCCGGGCGGAAGCGGTGGAACAGCAATGGCGGCCGGCCCCTCCCCGGAGCCCGAGTCAGAGCGCCTCCCGGTCCGGGCGCCTGCTACACTCTGTCCTCCGGCCCTGCCTCAGGCAGGCCTACTTGGTGTACCCAGCACCCTGTCTCTCCACTGCCACCCCGCCAGCCGGGAGTGCAGTCTCGCCAGCCGCAGCCCAAGGCTGCGTCTCTACTTGTGCGCGGAGCGAGGGGATTGTGGGCAGACCCTGATTCCGGTGGGGAGTCGAGCTGGGGGATGTGGTGTGCTGGATCCCTGGTCTCATTCGTCCCTCCAGCAGATCTGGAAGACCTCCATGTTATAAATGTGGGATACAGGGTCCCAGAGCCACACCTTAGCCCCTCAGGCCAACGCGGCTCTGTGATGACAGTAAATTGCCGAAATTCCAACATGTGCCCCCAAGCCAAAGTCAGGATTAAGTATTGTAAGACCCAAAGTCTCACTCTCACTCCACAGAGCGTGACCTGTACCATGCTGGGTCCTAAAACCCAGCGAGGCTCCGGGAGTTGGACAAGCAGCGAGAAACCCAGGAAGGAACACACCAGGCTAGTTGGTAAACAGACGTTTATTAGTCTGGCCAGAGGGCACTCTGAGAACCAAGCAGCTCAGAGATACTCCAGCTCAGGGTTTAGCACAGTTTTTAAAGACCAGGGGAGAGGCTTACAAGCACAGCAAGTGGGCAAGGGGTCAGGGGTCAGTTCCCTTAGCTAAGGGGTCTGGTTTATGACATGACTGGCTTCCTGTGTTGAACATCCCCAGACCCCAGGATGTTCTGTTCTGATCAAAGTCCTAAGGTATTACCTTTGTTTACCCATACCAGGCTCTCACATACACTCTGTTCTAATCTTATCTGGGAACAGAGCAGAAAGGAATGTGCTTTGTTGTATGCTGACTAACTAGGGGCTACACAGCGGTTAGGGTCCCACAGTATTAATGCCCTGAGAATTGAGAAACAGGATCGCCAGCCTTGGGGGTGAAGACGCCAGCCGTGGGGGTGAAGACGGGAGGCTGATGCAGGAACTTTCTTGCGAGTTGTTGACCAGTGGCATCGAGGCCACCCTGAATCTATATCGTGAGACCCAGAGTCATACAACAAGACAAAAACAAATCCAAAAAAGAAAAAAAAGAAGAAAAGAAAAACAAAGAGAAATATTCAGTATCACTGGTGATGTCAGTTGGTGGTGTTTGCCAAGCATCCAGTGAACTCCTGTGTTACATAAATAGGAATGCAAAAACAATCATCATCTTAATGATTGACGTGGCACCTCTACTAACAGGGACCACTTAAGTGAGGCCTTCCTATAGAGCTTAGAGGGCTGAGATAAGTGGAAGAGATGTTAATGTGTCAGCAAGGGCAGGAGAAAGTGTTCCTGCTAAGGACCACTTCCAGAGGGAACGGCATGTTACACGCAGTGTGAGAATCATTAAACTTGGGCATCCATATGGACATGTGATTTGGTAGGAGTAGAAAAAGAGAGTGATAGCACCTCAAATAATTGCTGTAGACCTTTGACTGTAGACACTGTTTTGAGAGTTGAAATGCTGATAGAGGTGGACTTTTAATTAAAGGAATATTGTAGTAGGAGTAAAGTCAAGTTTGAGGTCAGTAGCCATATGAGTGGTTAGTAATAAATAACTTCTGTGCAGGGAGGAGCAAACAGGAGGAGAAAGATAGTAGGAGAGGAGGGGATGGTGATGGTGGTAAAATGCAGCAGAAAGGGTCTTCCTCTGAGGTCAGATTTTTTCATAGTGTGGCAATAAGGTAGTTGTGTGCTGGCTCAAACTGAGTGGGTCAGACATCACAGGCACTAAGAAAGGAGAAGACTTTGTAAAATTTAGATAAATTTGTCTTCTGTTACTACTAATCAGGTAAACTAATCAATTTTCTTTTCAAGGGTTTCTTCCAAGCAATTCAGGCTGGCCTTGAACTTATTACGTAAACCAGGTTTGCTTGCAGCTTGTGACCATTCTCTTAAGTGAGCCTCCTGAGCACTGAGACTATAGCTGTGTATATTTTTTGAGGAAAAAATGGAAATTAGGAAATGGTTTTGCTTGCTCTGGCTTAAAAATTGGTGGCTATCATCAGCTAAGTGTAATGGAAAGGGATTTCTCCAGGATACCACAGATTTTAGATGTGGGTGATATTTTTATTGTACAGAAGATTGAACCAAGGACTTTTCTCTGAACTACGTTTTCCATACCTTTAAATATTTTTTAAACTTTGAGAGCAGCTCTCACTGTGTTGCCAGGGCTGCAACAAACTTTTGGTCTTGTTTCAGCTTCTTGGAGTGCTGAGATGCCAGGCATGTGCCACCATTCCTCCTTAAGATGGGGGTTTCTTAGGGCTGGGGATTTAGCTCAGCAGTTCTGCCACCTGCCTTGCAAGCACAAGGACCTGAGTTAGATCCCTGGTACCAAAAAAAAAAAAAAAAAGATGGTCGTTTCTTCATCACCAGTATTAACCTGGATCACTGTGCTTGGTTAAATGACACTTCGGTGAGGCATGGTGCTGCCCACCTTTCATCTCAGCCACTTGGGACGCTGAGGCAGGATTATTGCAGTAGCAAGACCAGGTGGACAATGGAGTAAGACCCAGATCAACATAGAGCAAAATCACTGGGTCTTTGTCTCCAATTAAAGTAACTTGTGTAACATGTGCAAGGCCCTGAATTCAGCCCAGTACTAAAGCATAAAAGAAGAAGTCATAATACTCAGAAAATTTTCTCTGATTTGGAATTTCATACTGTTTGCACATTAGTGGTCTGTGGTATACTTGCTCCAGATGCTGGGCAGCAGCAGTGAGTCCCAGCTTTGTCAGTGACAGGACACCAGTGACAACATCCAGTGATTTACACTGCAGTACATTCAATAAGTTACATGAGATATTTATTACTTTATCGTGAAAGAAACTATGTGTTACATACTTTTTCTCAAATACAGGTTAATATTAAGTGTGTTTATCCGTTTTAAAGGAGGCAAGGCTTAGCATTGTTTGCTTAATTATGTATATTCAATGCATTTTCAATACATTATAGTTTGAACTGTCTGTAGGTTGATCAAGATATTTTCCCTGGATAAGTCAAGCAGAATGTGTAATCAGGTTTACTTTGTCCTCTTAATGTATCATTTTTCACCATAAATGTGTGATCAATTACTTTTTCCTCTTGATTTGTACTGCCAACCATATCAAATGTCATTTTAGCATACAGCATAGGTATTTCTTGCTATTTAGATAAATTTAGTGTCTAAATTTTTTCTTCATATTCTTACTTAAATGACTAAGTAACTCTACAGTGTGTCCCAAAAAATGGAAAGGGAAACTTCTCTTTTCTTTTTTATGTCAGATTTGAAAAATATAAGACTATCCTTTGTTTTTCTGAAGGGATTCTAGAAGATTTTTGTCACATTCATAGTTGCTTCAGTGGTATTATAAATATACTTGTATTAATATAATTTAAAAATTTTATAGCATATATCAAATCTGTCTGTACATTATTTTCTACATATTCAGATCATCATCTCCAATTTATTTTTTCTTTTTTTTTTGGAGACAGATTTTGAGATAAGTGACTTTGAACTCATTAGGTAGGCCAGGCTTGGCAAGAACTTGTGTTTTCTTCTGCCTCAACCCATCCAACAGCTGGGATTAAGTTTTTGTGATAGAATTTCAGGTGCCACCTTATATACAGAAACAATTCGGTTTCTCTGTTAAATATATAATTTAAAGAAATTTCAGAGATTACTGAAAAAATCTTAGTCCATTGGTGATTGCTAGAAAATGTCAATTTATGGGATTTGAAATGCCCCCCCAAAAAAAAACCCCAGAAAGCATAAACTTTATACAAAGAAACATAAAAATTCCAGATGGCCAGTCTGATCACACTACATAATTAGGGATGGAACATCACTGAAAGTTTCTTAACTCATTCCTTTGACAGCATTAATTTGTGAGCTAGCATTTATATTTAATTCAGCTGCATTTATGACAGAAGATCTGATTTTCAAAATGGTACTAATTTTCCTTAAGTGTAAGGACTCTAAAAGTTAATAATTTACAGAGCAAATATTTTAACTTCTGCATTGTATTCGCTTGCTGTAATATTTACAAAAGACTAAAAGACTAATATCTTTCACTCTCCGAACCCTATATCTTTTTTTTTTTTTCCTTAGGTACCGGGGTTTGAACTCAGGTCCTTGTGCTTGCAAGGCAGGCCACCGAACCACTGAGCTAAATCCCCAGCCACCAACCCCATATCTTAAAGGTTTTCCTTGTCCCTCATTTCTGACCTCAGTGGGGGACTGTAGGAGTTTCAGACAGGATATGTACATACACACTTTAGATGGGATGCCTAATTCTGAGTATGAGGATAAATACAAGACAAGATCATTAATTATGTTACAGTGTCTCAAAGGCTATGTGACAAGAAGTACTGATGCCCTAGAAAAGATGAGACATTGAAAGACACCCCAACATCCTAAGCCTGTAACAATTAAATTGGCCTCTGCTAGAACACAGCCACCACTGACTGGCACTGAAGGTTAGACACCAATCCTGTGGTTTTTGGTAAACAAGTTTAATTTAAGAGTTGTCACTAAGTTAAAGTGAAACTATGTTTTAAGAGCAATTTACACTGAAGGAAATACGGTTCTAAAGTATTCTACGTAAGGAGAGATTATAGATAAAAGAATTGGCAACTGAGCATGCTAAATTCATGAAATACAAATTTCATAACAATGTACTACATGCATTTTGCTAACAATGTTTCCTAGAAATTAACTCTATAGAGTTGTATTGCATTTTTAAAGTGCTATTAACTTTTAGGAGAAGTAACCATATCTGGTTGATGGTGACAAAATACATGAAAATTCAGACAAATGAGCTGACAGATTCCCCAAATAGCAAAGTACTTTATCACAACAGAAAACCATAATGAAA